CCGGCCGCGAAAACCGCCGCAAAACCCGTCGCGGAAACCGCCGCAAAATCCGCCGCAAAAAACCGCCGCAAAATCCGCCGCGGAAAACGCCACGAACAAAACCACCGCGAAAACCGCCGCAGATCTGTAAAATGATCTATCGGAAGCAGATAGAAAAAATTATATCGGTAATTACCGATCATCAATATTATGTAAAGATGATAGTAAAAATTATGTAAAGAATATATATGTTGGTAAAAAATTAAATGTTGGTATATAATATCGGTAATAAATTAACGATCGTTGGTATTATCGGTAATTATATGTTGGTAAAAATTATATGTTGGTAAAAATTATGTAATTAAATGTTATATAATATCGGTAAAAAATGAAATGTTGGTATATAAGATCGGTAATAAATTACCGATCGTTGGTATTATCGGTATTGTGTAATTATATGTTGGTAAAAATTATATGTTGGTAAAAATTATGTAATCAAATGTCATATAATATCGGTAAAAATTACCGACCGCCGATAACATCGGTATGCTCTCCTCCCCAATTACCGACTGCTGATACCCCCCCCCACGGTGACGTCATACCCCCCTCGCCGCGGTACCCCCCGCCCCTCACCCCCCCCTCGGAGGACCTGAGTTAGAACCGGCCTATAATACCTACTTACTCGATTCCTGCGAATCTCTTCTGCGGGTCATTTCGCATAGACAGTATATTTCTCCCGAATCGTGGTGAAAAGAAATAAAGGAAAGAGGACTTACAATTATGAAAGAACTCTAACAATTTTTTTAAGAATATTTTTAACATTTTTAACATTTGCAACACGGGAAAAATAAACGACGAACGACTAGAGGGGGGCTGCGCCCCCCGCACCCCCCTAAAAACTAACTTAACCCTACCTATCGTCATATTAGCTATCATTGTTTATTAAAAAGTTATTCAGAAAAAAAGTTAAACACTTTTTAACCGCAACGACGATAGATATTAACGCTGTTATTGTCTTTATACTCCATTTCCTCGAAAACTATTATTCGTACGGTGAAAATATATATAACCTAAAATGTTTATCTCTATGAGATCTAAAGCTTTTGTCTAAAACATAATTATTATGATTTTTCGTATTTACTGAGATAAACATAAAAAACTATAATTTTTATGGGTTTTTCATGGTTTTTACTATGAAAATCAAATAATCGTCAATTTTCATTATGATATTCGTAATCATCGCGTCAAAATACGTAAGAATACTAAGTTTCAAAAACATTGAAGGTACTTTTCGGAACTACATCCAAAAATTTTTTACTCCTTATAGACATAATTTGTCGATAAACTTAAACAAGTTGAAAAAAAAATTTGTAATAGACAAAAAAACAGCCCTTGAATCAAAAGTTCGATTTTTACTAATAAAAATCTATTTTATGTATGCGAAAAAATTGTTTAAATAAATAATGTTATGGATTTCATAAGTTTATCAATTAGTAAATATAACAAACTAAATGTATGTAAAAGGCCAACTCAATTGGTCAAATAGGTTTTAAATCATCTTGCACACCAGTTTGGAAGAAGTCGTTTCAAGAAAAACACGTTTAAAGTTTCAGGTATAGAAAATTGTAAACTTACAGCTGTTTTCTGCTAATCCGCTATTCCTGCCGCATACAGTAAACCTTCCGCTTCTTCAAACAAATCATTTTGCTCAAGTTGGTGTTGTTTACTTGCTATTCGAGTCTCTTTACTGCAACTTAGGTTGCGGCGTTCCTGTTTCTTTATTCGCTCGGCGTCTTTACTATCAACATATAACTTACAAAGAGGCCCATTTTAATTTCCATTATCTTCAAAACAGTAAAGTAATCTTTATTAAATATCCCAGCGGCAATATAGGCGATGATTTCGATGATTTTAAGGCCAGAATGTATATGCTTTTGAGCTAACCGCTAAATCGTACTATTAAAACTTTTATTCGCATTTTTTGTGTGTCCACCTAAGCACTTTTCTAATAGATCTTTCTTAAAATGGTTTTTCCGTTTTCTCAAACGGGTTTTTCGGAACAAAGCCGTTGTGAGTCATTATGCGCTCAGACCTTACCTCACGTGCTCGTACTTGCGTACGAGAAATGGTCCTGTACGACCATTTAGATTTTAAATTTCAAAACCAAACTTTGGGAGTATATTCTACATACATAGTACCAATTATATATTAATTAAAGTAAAAAAATTCGATTTTTGTGCCTCTCTGTAGTGCTTTTCCCCCTTAATTACAGGAGTTGTCAAGAAACAACGATAGCCATTTCGGAACTCAATTACACAATAACCTAGAGATTTATATATAATATATGTGGCTGTAGATCTGCTCCAACTCCTGTGCCGATCTCACTCGTCCTTCCTGCCTTTCGGGTCGCTGACTCGCTATTTTTCGGTCGCTCTTGCTTCTCTAATAGCTCGAGATCGCGCCGCATCGCACAGTGTCGCGCTTTCCATGAGCACCGTATTTTCACGGTTTCCAATCCTTGCCGCCGATTGCCGCTACTTCCGAATGGCTGTCAGGAGCCCTCGGATCTATTGGCACCTTCCGGGGCCCGCTTCTAAAAAATAGTTTTTATGTTCGGGGTGGACACTGGTCGTTTGATGGCATCTTTAGTGACTCATGATCACGGCCGGCGACTCCTGAATATTTTCTTGACTTAGGGCGTTCTCCGCGAACTCGTCCTCCAGGACTCAACTTCATCGCGATCTGCGGTCGATAGCACGGGGCTCCTCGCCTGTCTTAGGTGCAGGATGAATCCTTCCTCTGCCTCGCTCGCCCTCGCGGCTGCGCCCACACCCTTCACTCGTTTCCAGTGCCCAAAGCACGCCGTGGCTGACTCTTCATCCCTCGTATACTTGCCACACTTCCTTAAAACTTTATGTGCGAGATCTCGTACGCAAAAGGCGCACGGGACAAAAATTTATTTGACCGTCCTTTCCGTGAAAGAAGGAAACGCGAGTTCGACTCTCCTCGCCTCCCCGGCCAAATTTGGGCGGTAAATAAGTGATTGGCGAAGTCGCTACGTCACAATATATATTGGATGATCAAGTTACGCGTTAAAAAATGTCAAACATTTCAATGTCACTTATTAATCAACACTACAAACTTTTATTACTATTTTTATATATAAAAATTAATATCATTAACTGTTTCTTGTCGCATTCTACATATAAAGGTATTATTAAGAGATTGTTTAAAGTGCATAAAATAAAATTTAAACACAATATACAAGGTGTTCTAGATTCTTCTCCGCAATTTTTGTAGAAACGTAGAACGGATTAAGATGAACATAAAAATCCTATATTGTTTTGCGATATTCATGATAATAACCGATATTATCGAAAATTAATTAAAGGTGATTAATGAATTATCACACGCAATATGATAGATAAACTGTAATGGCGATGTGTGCTTAGATCAAATTGAACAAAAAGCCTTTCATCATTTTGCAATTAGCCACGTAGAATTTTAATTGTTAATGAAAGAAAATTGTTACATAGTTGTATACAATACAAGTTTCCTTTAATTAATATCTAAGAATCTGTGTGGTCATTTGCAAAATAATACAGGACTTTCTTATTCAGTTTGTCCTATTATACTAATATAAGTACAATGGCAGACGGCGCACAGTGAGCCAAAAACATTTGTTGGGCAAAATCCTGCCTACATCACAAATCTGCAACGATTTTGATGAAACTTTTTTTAAAATACTCGTGAATATTTCTACTATATCTCACTGTCAAAAATTTGAAAAGGTAAACATAACCCCAAAAAATAATCCTAAACTCCATTACCTATTACCCCGAATTATCTCAAACTTCATAACATTATGGTCCGAAACTCCATCAGTCTAAACCTTATAGTCTCATAACTCATAAACCTGATTATCCATAAGTTAAAAATACCATAACCCTATATCCCATAACCCCAAACTCCAAAACCCCGTTATGGAGTGATGGAGTCTGAAATAATTCTTCTGAGGTAATTCGAGAAGTTTGAGGTGATTCGGGGTAACAATGGAGTTTGAGGTTATTTTCTGGAGTTATATTTACTTTTTTCAAAAAGTTATATTTACTTTTTTTCAAATTTTTGGCAATGAGAATTATAGTAGAACTATTTACGAGTATTTTAAAAAAAGTTTCACCAAAATCGATGTAGATTTGTGATGTAGGCAGAATTTTGTCCACCAAATATGCTTTTTGTCACACTGTGCGGCGCTAACATAGCTTATTTATCATATCGCGCGGAATCATTCATCAATTTTCGTTAATTAATATCTCAAGATTTATTGCAAATATTGCAAAACGGTATGGATATTACATTATAGGTAAACGGTATTTTCTATTCGTTCTACATATCTACGTATTTCTCAATCCGTTCTACATTTCCACAAAAAAGATGCGAAAGAAAGTTTGTATATTATATTGGGTCATCCTGTATATTAAAACACATCATTTTAGAAACAACGTCAAAATTACCTTTTTGCCATTTATCGCTTTTAGCGAACGACCAGAATTGCATGTAACCAGATGATTTTAACATTATTTTACTAGAGAAAGGTGGATGTTTTATCTTCTTCTCTCTAGCTGCATCTGCGAGTGTTGGAAATAATCTGTCGTACTCATCGGGAACATTTCTTCTGAACACTGTTATTTGATTGTACATTAGCTGTCTACCAATCAGATCAAACTGATCAAAGTCCACGGAGATACATAAGAAACTTTGTCCATAATTTTTACCAGATGATGGATAATCGTACTCGGACTTATTTCCTAGAGTCGTAGTTGAATCCACATATATTTTTCCCTAAAAATATTTCAATTTAAAACATATTCTGTGTTAAAAATATATTACTTATTATATAAAATGTATCAAAAGCATATTTTTATTAAACAGAATGAATTTAAAAAATATAACTGAAGGAGGTTCTAGTCACACAGCACTTTATAATAAAATTGTTTAAAATGACAAAAACTAATTCTGCAGCAAAAGTAAAATAAAAATTATGAAACCCCATAACTCATAAATATTATAATATCCAATATTTTTTTTGTATTAAATGTTATCAAATATTTAATACAAAATATACTAAATAAAAAGTATAAGACATTTATTTGATGTCAATATTACAATTGTAAAAAAGAAATATAAAAATTAAATTTATTTACTTATTTATTTATTTATTTATTTATTTACTTATATTTAACAAGTGATCAATTTCTTTTAATTTATATTTTAGGAATGCATACATAATTTTCGAAATAACTTATAATATATATAATGCTGCCATGTTTCCATTCATATATTATCGACTTTGTGATGCGACGGTACTTGCGAACGGAACTTCTCGCGAGCGACGGCAAACAGTCGCCTGTTCGCCGCGTCGGCAAATTGCCGTCGGCTCCCGGACACGCCACAAAGATTTTCGCGAGAGTTGGGCGCCAGGTACGGAAAGGCCGCACCACCTCGATAAACGCGAGAATAAATAATTGTCACAAAAGATGCGCGTCCCGGAACCGTCGGGACCGGTAGCTCGTGTTAATTTAAAGTCGGAGACGGGATGGGTTAGGAGGCGAAATCACTAGGCTCGATGTCAGTAGACATCTCTCTTTAAGCTGACGATAAATTTATGTGATAATTCAATAAAATATATGTTACGTCCTGCGAGAATTTCATGAAAGGCCGTGGCCGGTTTTCGTTATGGTAAGACGACCCCAACGATATCTCACTCATCATTTACACACTCAATTACACTCATTTACACACATAAGTTACATTATGATAACATTAAATTACCCATCATGTCAACTTCTGGAACCGTGGTTCTAGAGTTATGTCGTCAAACTCAAAAATAAAGAAAAATTTTTTCCTTCGAAACGAGAGGAGCCATGGCTTGGAAAAAAAATACGGAAAGTAAAATATCTTTTGGAGATTCAGACAAATATGGTTTGATTTTGGGCACTTATAGGGTGTCCAAAAAAACATTTCAATTTTCGAAACGCGATTTTTTCAACATTCTGTAGAATCACCACCATCATATTTTATATGCAACATTACTACATACTTATATATAATATTTATTTTAACGGAGATGTTCGTGACGGTACAATATGATTATAAATACAAAAAATCTAAATAATCTTTTTTTTTTTTTAAGGAAACGAATATCAATTTCGAAAACTTAAATTTTTAAAGTATCGTAAAACTGCTCTTAACGTATACTCTTCATATTCTCAGATATCTTGTCCACGTTCTTTTATAAGAATAAATGTCCGAAACCCGATCTTTGGTAGACACCACTTATTAATAGATAGATATTTTGGTCCTTTCTACATCCAATTAAGATTGGTTTTATTGCATTTATATTAATAGATCTTTGTAATCAGTGTGCAATTAACAAATGCAACAAAAATTTCTTTTTTTCGAATCCTAAGTTATTAAAAACAAGCGATTTAAAAAAAAAAATTGTACAAATCAAGAGTTGAAAGAAAGAAACAAAATAAAATAATCATCTAACTGATTTAAATAAAATCACAGTTGAGAATCACGATGAAAAAAGAGACGAAGCTTAATCATCGTCACTGTCTGCATTGATTGTCGATGCAATCTAGTCTTCATCAAAAATAGAACAAAGAAAAGCAACAGGTTTCAAAACTTTTGACTATCTTGCAAACGTTAGATAATATATAAAAATTATCTTTTTAAAAAAAGGTAAAAAAAGAAGCCAAATGCACGCACTTTGCTTCGCTTACAAAAAACATTATTAAAAAAGTTATTAGTAAAATTCTTACAAAAAGATATGATATCAATCAGTTTACGCCAAGTAAAATTAATTTCATACACAATAAATATTGTTATAACTACTTTATATATATATGAACACTATATTAGGATTCTATTGACTTTATTTTCTGATAATTACACAAATTTTGGAAAAAACTAATTTTCAAAAGCTTATTTAGTAAACATACAAAAGTAAAAATTTTGGAAAAAGTTAAATAAAATTTCACACGCACACAAAAAACATTTAGCGTGCCAGAGTAAAGTTTCACACGCACACATAAAACACTTGGCGTGCCCATTCTTTTAATGCTACTTATGCAACATATGCTCCAAAGATTTTCGTACATATATTAAGATTACCGATTTACCGACTCGTAATTTATTAAATTAAATAAGCTATATAGACGTTGGAATATAAATAATATAATAATAGATAAATAAATAATAAATAATAAGAGACAGAGAAAGAGAAAGAGAGAGAGACAGACAGATACATATTTTTTATAAAAATGAATTATTCTGAAATAAAATTTAAAGAACCTGCCTTTTATGTACATCTAAATATTTACAATGTCCAAGTTCAACATATAAAGTTATTAACAAAAAAAACTCGTTTTTACTGATTAATATTATTTTGTAAAAAAAGATGTGATATAAAAACAAAATTATTTTTTTTTTTAATAATATAAAAAAGAAGCCAAGTGTACGCGTGTTAGCACTATTAGTCTTTACAAAAAAATATCGTTATAAATAAATTACAACAAAATCTCAGTTAAATGATATTTAAAAAAATATTATTAAAACAACTTTATTCAGATCACTTGTATTTTCGCAAATATTCTATTGAAAAATACAAGGTAATTTTATACTCTCTACAAAAGTAATGACATCAAGAAGTTTACGCCAAGTAATGATGACGAATGATTAATCATTTCAGTTTTTAGTTTTATAAACATATGTGGTTTTAGTTATATATAATATATTTATAAATTAAATATATTATTAATATATTAGTAACATATTATTAAATAAAAAATAAAATAATTAGAGAAATACAATAATATTGAAAAAAATTATAATAATTTAGAATAATGTTTTAAAAAATTATAATAACTTACAATAACGTTCAAAAAAATTATAATAACTTACACAAAAAGCACTTGGTATGCTTTTTTTAATATTATATCGATTATCAATATAATATTTTGATAATTATTTAAATAAGAGAATCGTTTGCCTATAAAAAAAGGCACGCCAAGTGCTTTTTGTGTAAGTTATTATAATTTTTTTTGCAATACTATTGTATTTCTTTAATTATTTATTTTTTATTTAATAATATGTTACTAATATATTAATATTAGCTCTCTCTCTCCCCCTCTCTCTCTCCATCTCTCCCTCTCCTCCTCTCCCTCCCTCTGCCTCTCCCTCTCTCTCTCCCTTCCGCCCTCCTGAAAATCGTGTTTGTTCTTTCACAATGTTTGACAAACTGCATAAATATGCGAGTGTTATTTTGACGTGTATTTATATAACATATAAATTTTGATGATTAAATACTCAATATAAGTGGACTCAATATAAATTGCATGGTACATGCAGTTAAAATATATTTCGTTTTTCTTTTCAAAGTCGACATTTTGCAGTAATATCTTGACTCTCGGTGGTTTAATTAAGTTGACTTTTAGATAGAAAAGTTCCGTAAGCTTGTCGTTATCGTGTAAACTACTGACAAACTCGTGAAAATATTTAATTTTGAAATATTAATTTTTCTACTATAAAAGAATTGAAAATTTAATAATATTCCATTAAGATATTTGAAATTTTGTTAACTTTTACTCAATTTTTATTATAGTGGTTGACACGATAACGATAAGCTTACGGAAATTGAACTTAATTAAACCACCAAAAATTAAGATATTACTGCAAAATGACGACCTTAAAAAGAAAAACGAAATATATTTTAACTTCATGTATCATACACTTTTATTGAGTATTTAATCATCAAAATTATATTTTTCTTCTCTTTATATGTTGTATAAATACACATCAAAATAATACTTTCGCATATTCATTCAGTTTGTCATAAAAGATTGTCAAAAAACAAGCACGATTTTCAGGCAACCTGACCCTCCAGTCCCCTTAATGGAATCTATTGTATCTTGTAAATGTATATTGTAAATTGTATAAATATATCCGGACGAATAAAAGCATACGTTTCTTTTTATTATATTATATCTTTTTCCAGATTTTTTCTACATTACAATAGCGGACCACATCAGTCTATGGTCAATATATTGATCATAGACGCATTGATGAAGTCATGTTTGCGACTTGGATCCGCATCAAGAACCAATTAAGCAGTGTCCATAAAGCGGTATCGATAAAGCAAACTGTTTTGTCTACACCATTTGATAAACATTTACACGTTCTATAATAAAGTTATCTTAGCACCTTTGCTTTCATAGTGCTACAGTTGCTTCAAAAAATAAAAACAGTTCCACATTCATTCTATCAACCCAGACAACACAATCTAATAAAAGATGTCTTAAAGACGTCCAAAAAATGTCCTTATTTATTTTGAATCTTTTTTGGACGTCTTTAAGATATCTTTCAGCAGTTTGTGCTGTCTGCCTGATGAAAAATGCATAATTTTGCAAAAATGCTTATACAAAATTATGCAAAGTTATATATGAAATTTGTCCATATATAATTATACATAATTATATCTAAATAGATAAAATTATACATAATTATGCATAATTTTCGATATTACAAATGCCTTTTGATGCTATAAATAGTAACTTTTTTCGTTTCTTCTATGTTAAAACTTAAAGAAGGACTTATTGAGAGTTTCTCAATACGCATGGAGAAAAAAAATTATTTTATATATCCCTCCGTAGTTTCGAACTTAAACTACCTCACCTGTTCCGCTTGGTAGTCCTAGTCCTAGTCTTGGTAGCTACTGGATCACTGACACTAAGAGAGTTAATAATGATTCTAATATATCATACGATATCTTGCTGACT